AAGAAAGAAAGAGGAAGGAAGGAAGGAAGGAAGGAAGGAAGGAAGGAAGGAAGGAAGGAAGGAAGGAAGGAAGGAAGGGGGAAGGAGGGAAGAAAGGAAGTAAAGAAAGAAGGAAAGAGAGAGAAAAAGAAAAGGAAAAAGAGATAGAAGGAAAGGAGAGCTATGCCCTAGTTGAAGTGAGAAAGGCCCTCTCACATTTTGCCTTGAACTTAACATTGGGCTCCTGGTCCACCACCCTCCCTGCCTAATGCATATTGCCCTCTCTTATCACTGAAGACAGTTGTCTACAAATAGTTTGAAAGCCACCAGTTTGAATGAACATCTCCCTTTAACAAATAAGGAAACTAAAACTTGGTGACTGAGTCACATTATTCTTGTTTTCCAAATCCTTCCTTCCAAAAGTAAACCCTTTTTTGTTTCTTGTTAGTAGATGACTCTGTATAGACTTCTCCAAAATAACTTTATATGAATCCATGTCATCATTGCTCTGCATATTCTCATAGTTAAACCACCATAATTTAATTTTACTCATATAACTTTCTTTTAACAAAAAAATTGGAAATATAAAAATTTCATAAGCACTGTTTTCCCCTTACAAAAATAAAAAAAATACTTAAAATTTAAAAAAATAGTATTGACCTTTATAATCACAAGTCCTAATTTTGGTTGTGTTTATTCTGAGTAGACAAAGGTAAACTAAAAGAAGATATCATTTAACATTGTCAAATGAAACAAAGCTTCCTTTTCCAAATGGAGAGGATGTAGATGTGGTGATTGCTGGGGAGGGGGAGGGAGGAAGAGGAAGGTGTAGGAGGAATAAGTGGTGCTGGACAGAGATTTGGCTTGGGCTGGTGAACACACAATACAGTCAGTGTACAGAGGATGTGTTGTAGAATTGTGCACCTGAAACCTGTATAATTTTGTTAACCAATGTCCCCAATAAATTCAATATAAAGGGGGGGGGGAGAAAGCAAAAGCTATGTCTACCAAAAAACAGATGTGCAGTTATTGATCTGGAATTGGCACGGTGACAAACTGCTCTGCAAAGCTCCCTCTTCCCCATTAGGGCGTCTCTCTTGAACTGATTGAAAGCTATTCAGTCAGTATACTTTTTTCAAGATGGTGTGCTCAGTTGGGGGTCTTTTCATTAAACTGAAATTCCATCATTAACTTTGACTAGCACCAGCTGCTGTATAAAATCTGTCTTAGTGTAAACCTCCACTGGTCCAAATATTGCAGGTAAGTCTCTCACTCCAAAATCCTCAAACATGCAGTATGAATAATTAACATCTGATAAATTCAGAGTAGAAAGAACCCTCGTTAGAAGACAATAGTGGGGTCACAATCCCACCTCAGCTCCACAGAACACTGAATCAAATAGGACTTTAGCTAAAATGAAGAGCATTTTAAAATATCTCCACTTCTTAATTTTCCCTTATACCTAATAAGAAATGGGAAATTAGGACATGCGATAGAATGCTTTAGTCTTGCAGCAAAGTTAAAGACAGAACCCAATATCCAGCACATTCTAATTTAGTTGACTTGAGTGTTCTAATTCCAGATCAATTTTCAGGAATTGGGGGTTTGTACCATCCATAATTGTTCTCCCTTGTAAATAGTTCAAAGTCTACCACTATTTTAACACAAAAGAGAAACTTTCCTATTTAGGAATCTAATATTATTTCTATGAGACATGGTAAAATACAGCTCAAAGGAGTTTTTCAAAGTTTCTTATAATGTTGAATTTATGAGAGCGTCTACTTTTTTAATGAAACATGCCATGACAGTACAATGGTGGAGAGAAGAATATTCTGCAGTTAAATTCTGGAGCCTCAGTTTCTTCATCTGTAAAATGGGAATAAGATTAGTATAAGGCTCATGGACTTCAAGCACTAAGAAAATGTATATATGGTATTTAGCATAATACAGTGTATTTATTCTCTATTGCTGCATAACAAATTACCACATATTTAGTAGCTAAAAATGACACTCATTTATTATCTCACAATTTCTGCAGGTCAGGACATGGGTTAGTTAGATGGCCCCACTACTTAGAGTTTCACAAGACTGCAATCAAGGTGTCAGCTGGACTGTGTTCTCATCTGGAGGCTCAAATGGGGAAGAAACCCCTTCCAAGCTCCCTCAAATTCTTGAATTCATTTCCTTGAAGCTTTCAGACCAAGAATTCCAGCTTCCTCATGGCTGTTGGCTGGAGGCTGCTCACTGTTCCTCACCATGACCACTTACTTCATCAAGCAGCAAGAATAGTCTTTAGGATGAATCTTCTAGTAAGACAGAGTCCTCTATTATGTAACATAATCATAAGAGGAACATATGACTTTTATTACATTCTATTGATTGAAAGCAAGTCACCACAGGTCCTACCCACACTTAAGGATAAACACCAGGAAGCAGGGTCCATTGGGGGATACCATTTAGTCTGTGTATCAATGTAATAAATGAATATATTAATGAATCTGTGAATGAATGAACAAATGAATTAGTGAGTGAATGAGTGAATCTGAGTAGCAACTTAAATATGAATGGAGTAAGCCATAGGCCTCTTAAATATCAAAAAACATGGGAAATAGTTCTAAATTTAGGACAAACAGATGAACAATGCACTCTGCAGTTTACTGCTCAATTGAAGCCATAATACAAGTATTCAACCTTTGTGAAAATAATGAATTAAAAATTTATGGGGCCCAGGCTCTGAGGCCCAGAGAATGTCAGTAGATCTCAAGGGTGGTAGGGAATGGAACCCTGAGGGAAAAATAGGGGCTTTAGTACACTTTCAAGTGATAATCCTATATAATAAAAGCAGAGTACGAAAATTGTCCCCTGGACAGGGAGTTCTTTCAGGAGTTCAACCAGGGGGCGGGGCCAGCTGGGGGAAAGGAGGGAGGCCCCAGCCAGCTGCTGCTAGCTGCATGTACTGGGCCTCTAGCTTTTTTTTTATAATTGAAGCAAAAGGAGAAATAAGAAATGAAATATACATCTACACAATTGAAATGTACATGGACAACAGCGGGATGGGAGAATGAGTGGGTGTGCAGGGGGAGGTTGAGGGTTAATGGGGGGTGGGGGGGATAAGGAAACATTTGTAATACCTTAACTAATAATAATAATAAAAATGGAAAAATCACAAAAAAGAAATGAAATAAAATGGTTAAATATAGTTATAAAAATATTTTAACTTCTAAGCGATAAAAATAACTAACAATAAAAACAAAAGAATATTCACCACAAATGAAAATTAGTTATCTCCAAGCATATGAAAATTTATTTGAACATATTTATGAATACTACTAATACCCCAATGGATAAATGAGCAAAGGACATGGTTATGTGATTTATACAGAGAAAGTATAATTAGTAAAATAAAATTGAAAATAAATTTAAATCTAATATGGATGGGACAGACGCCTTACAAACAGAATATTTATAAGCACCATTCTATAATTTTTTGTTTTGTTAGCTGATTACTCCAAGATGAGAGAGTAAACAGAAAAATAAATTGCATTAGCATTGTTCACCAACCACATGCCATATTTTGTAACTCCTCCTGGGTGGATGGATATTGACTCTCAGTTAGTCAGTGGTAAGAGAGCTCAAATGGATGACTGCATACCCACATAATATAATAATAATAATAATAAAACAAACCACCAAACCATTCACTTTAGCATGAATCCAATATAGAAAAATAATCTATAAAAAGTTCTTTCTAATTTACTTCTACTACCTGTGTAGCTGAAACACAGCAAAACAAATACAGGTCAGACTCATGAAGAACAAAAAACTAGGTATAGGTATTAGATACTACACAGGAAAAGAATCTTCCCAACAATGAAGTCTTTATTTTCTTTATTTTGGTGAATATTCTTATTGACAACACCTTGGCTTCTGACGACCTCCGTCTTTGTGGCTGGCTCGCGGGATGAAGCAGGTCAAGCACCATTCCTGGACTCGGCACAAAGCGTTGACAGGCACGTTTTCTGCTTTTCCCTCTCCCTTAGGCCTGTCTGGGTAAACAGGGGAAATTCATTTTGATGCCAGTGATAATGTGCTAATATATTTGTCCACATGTGTCATCATATCTCTTCAGGAGTAAATTACGGCATGTCTCATCATGGTCAGGAATGGAAGGACCAACAATTAAAAGAATAATAGTAGGCACTCACTCAATATTTGTTGTTGCTATTAATGTTATTTTTATCATCGGTGGGAATGACACAGACAAGGATTGATTTGTTCCTGGAATCTAGATGGGCTCTCTTTTGGTGTCAGGGAGGGGGGCACTCCTGGGGCAGCTGCAGTGGAGGGTGGGAGGAGGAGGCCCAGCCAGACAAGCACAGTACCTGAAGATGATGATGACAGATGAGCAGCAGATGGTGTTTGGGAGGTCTGACAGTCATGGACAGGTCCCATGGTTTTCAAACACAACTCTAGGCTGACCAGCTACAGGAGATCCAGTAAGCTCTTCAAACCAGTGCCACCCACCACCCCTGCTCAATACAGGTAGGGTTAGTTGGGGACCTGAATAACATGGGAAAGGTGGGTCAAGATGGAAAGAGGGGAAGAAGTTAAAGAAACAAGACTGTAGTGGTTACAGTAGCTTTCTGACAGCAGGCATTTGCTGTTATGTCCTGAAGAGAGGAGAGCATAAGTTATAAAGAGACCTTCAGAGGAAATGAACAGACCACATAGTATTCTTTACATTTGGCCCAGGTGAAAGCTGGGTGTAGGGATGGCCTCCTCAGTCTATGTAACATATGTACTTGGGTCCTACTCCTTTCACTGTGATTGCCCTAGACTGCCTGCATCAATATATCTTTCTTGGACTGTAAATTTTAATAAATATTTTCATTGATTTTTAGAGAGAGAGGAATGGAGAGGGGGAGAGAGAAACATTGGTGTAAGAGAGAAACATCAATTGGTTGCCTCCTGCATGTCCCCACCAGGAATCGAGCCCACAAACCGGGCATGTGCCCTGACTGGGGCTTGAACCGGTGACCTTTCAGTGCATCGACAATGCCCAAACAACTGAGTCTCACAAGCCGGGGCTGGATTATAAACTTTTACAATGCAGAGATCAAACCTACATAGTTCTCTTTGAACAGTGTGTAACACTAAAAAGAGTAGAGGAAGATGATGCTAATACAAAATATAAAAGATGAATGTAATAATAATAATATCAGTGGGACTTGAAATGTTAGTGCTGTGCTGGTGAAAAAACAGCAGTATCACTTCCAATCCTTAATGTGAAATTGGCTTTCTTATTCCTCTTAAAATCTATACCATTGTAATCCCACTTCTAGAAGCCTAGTGAAAATAGTCAGCAATATGAACAAAGACTTATTTGTAAACACATGAGCACCTAGACGCCTGCTATGGAAAAAATGACCAAGTAAAGCTTAGTAAGATGGAATGTATGCAGTCTTCAAAAATCACAGTTAATAATATTAACAGGAAAATGCTCACATTAAAAAGTCAAGTGAAAAAAGTACAAACCTTGTTTTTCAAAGCATAGAAACATTTGAAAGAAATATACTAAAGTACTATAAAAAAAAAAAAGGTGGGGTGGGTGAATAGTATTGGCAGAGAAATGGCTTAGAGGTGAGCAAAGAGGAAACAGGAACTAAGTAAAAGAAAACTAACATATTTTAACACCTACTGTGTGCAAGCATTGGGCTAAGTATTTAACTCTATTAATAATTATTTTAATAATAAAAGATAAGAATTGAAACAAGGCCACTGAGAGAAGATAGTCTCTTTCCACAATGAACAGTAGCCTCTCATCTTGACTCAGTGGAAAAACACAGGAAGGCTAACGTATTTTGAGTGAAGTTATAACTGAACAGAAAATGGATGTTTGGCTGCCTGCTGCAACAAAAGCCACACTCATGAGGCAGGTGTTGGTGCAAAAGGAAAGAAGCTTTATTCAGGTGCCACGTGACCTGGGAAAATGGTGGGCTCCTATCTCAAAGACCATCTCTCTTTGTCTCAAGACCATCTCTCTCCATCTCAAAGACCAACTCTTTTTTCTATTCAAACCTGTGGTTCTTATAGGGATAGGGAGGGGAAGGGTTTTTTTTTGTTTTTGTTTTTCCTATCCAATTATCTTGCTAGCTTCGGGTGTGTTTGGGTCCTGTCCATTCATCTTTCTAGCTTTTGGTGAGTTCAGGCCTTATCTACTCATATTTCTAGCTTTTGCATACTCTGTGTAAGAACCTCCCCCAAAGCCATCTTGGCCAATGAGGGAGACTCCAGGTGCTCTACTGACTGTCTATAATAACAATTCACCCTTAAAAACTCTGGACCCTGGAAAAAACTAAGATGGCGGCAGAGATAAACACCGGGAAGTTAATGCCGCTCACAACAATTGATTAATACCTCAGAGAAACAACACGGACTTCATCCAGAACCACAGGAAGCCTGGATGACTGTAAACTCTACAACTAGAAGGAAGGAAAGGCATACTGAGACCCGCAGAAGCTGCAGGAGAGAAGCACAGAGGTACGGGGCTCTCGCGGGGCTCGCGCGCGGAAAGGGGCCGGCACCTGAGCAGACTCTGTGTGTGACCCTCCCCCAAAGCCATCTTGGCCAATGAGGGAGACTCCAGGTGCTCTACTGACTGTCTATAGTAACAATTCACCCTTAAAAACTCTGGACCCTGTAACCTTACAAAGGTAAATGGGCAAAGATCTCATCCTATATAATAAAAGCCTAATATGCTAAGTGTCCAGTCATCCAGTCATCTGTTCAACCAATCAAAGGGTAATATGCTCAACTGCTCAGTTATGATGCACACTGACCACCAGGGGCAGACTCTCTGACCAATAGGTTAGCTTCTGCTGGAATCCAGCCAATTGGGACTGAGTGAGATGAGCTGGACATGCCCTGGAGCTCTCCCGTGTCCCTTCTCAGCCCCGATTGTGTGCCAGTGGGGTTCCTCGCCTGGCCTGCACCCTCTCACAATTTGGGACCCCTTGGGGGATGTCAGAGAGCCGGTTTTGGCCCAATCCCACAGGCCAGGCTGAGGGACTCCACTGGTATACGAATTCATGCACTGGGCCTCTAGTCTTCTATAATTTCTTCCTGCTACCAAAGGGCATATATATTCTTATGTATCCCAGGTCCAGAGAGTCTTACTATCTATTCAAGGATGAGGGGTGTCAAGAATGGAGGGAAGCCTTTACATGAGGGAGAAGGATAGCTGTTTTCAGAAGGCAGCATTCTGCTGTCTAGAGGATGGCACTGCTGGACAAGTGAAGCTGGTAGACTGCTCCGTATTTCAAGAGATGGCCTTGCAGAGGGCCTTCCAAAGTGAGATCTATTGTGTAGACAAACAATCAAGGGTTTAGTCAGGGCTATGCCTAGTAGTGCAGGGGAAATGTAGTGAAATGAGAAACTGGAGAGACTAACAGATCCCCATGATCTAATCCTGAGTAGGGCTTTGGGTGGCACACTCAACAATGGAATAAGTTTGCCAAGGAAGCCATTGTCTGGGAAATGCAGACAAAGGCACTATCAGTCCAAGCATGGGCGTAAAAAATAATAATAAAATAAAAAGTAGCATTGTCACTTAGCTTTGGGAGGCGCTGTCCCTTTCCAAAAGAGGAATTTTAAATATTTTTCAGAAGTGCAGGTTCAGAATTTCCGTAAGTATCAACAGCAGCCGCAAGATACAAGTTCTCCTTTGGTTGATCTAACCAATGGACACAGACAACAGGGGGGTGAGGGCATGAGTGGGGGGTTGGGGGGGGCAATGAGGCGATAAAGACACATATGTAATACCTTAATCAATAAAGAAAAAAAAAGATACAAGTTCTCCTGAGGTGGCGCCTGCTTTATCCATGTGTGATAGATCCACGGCTTAATTCCAGTGAGCTTTAGGGAAGAGTGTGTTGTCAGTAGGGCATCATAGGGACTGGTCCCTTGCTTGGCTGACTGCTGTTCAGGACCTTGAATCTTCCAAGTCCTTAGTTAGACTCGGTCTCCTGGCTGGAATGGATGTAAGGGCTGGTCAGACAGGTAGATAGACCTGCAATGAGCAAAGTTGTTAGTGTTTACCCTAAATGTTGTACATATTGTTTGATTTTTTTAATCTTCACCAGAGGATATTTTTTCCATTGCTTTTTAGAGAGAGTGGAAAAAAGGGATGGAGGGGAAAGAGGGGGGAAGAGAGAGTGAGAGAGAGAGAGAGAGAGAGAGAGAGAGAGAGAAGAGAGAGAGAGAGAGAGAGAGAGAGAGACATACATTACCAGCTTGCTTCCCACACATGCCCTAAACGGGGGGCCAGGGATGAACTTGCAACCCAGGTATGGCCCTCGACTGGGAATCGAACACCTGACCCTTTGGTCTGTGGACCAATTCTCTAACCCCTTAGCTACACCAGCCAGGGCCATAGTGTTTGATTCTTTTATTCATGTTCTAAATCTAAAGGGTGTGTTCCTAAAACAGAAACTTGGAAATATCTCTGATAAACTATTTCAAAAGGGCTTAATTTAAGTATGCTTCAGGGTACTACCCTAATACAGAGTAAGGCAATAGGCAATGTCTGGTCCCATTTCAAACGCATTTATTGGCATATTTTCACCTGGGTCTTCTTTATTATGTGGTTCATTTTCATATTCTTCCCCGTAGATTGGGGTCTCTAAGATGGTTCAATTGAATCCGTAGTGTCTTTCCTATCTTCTGGGAGATACCTTAAATGAATAATGGTTTTGAAGCTTTTTGACTGGCAAAATGGAAGTGTTATAGAAAGACTGGCATGGCCGAATTAATCCTCCTTTTAAGAATTTATACACTAGTGGCTGAATTCCTTCTAAAGCTTCCTTTTCAAGAGGGTATTATTTCTTCTGTGGGATCTGTGCCCCTTCCTTTAGGTTAATTTTGTGGGTTGGATGCTAACCACCTTACCTGGGTTCCATAGTCCAAACAACTTGATCAACCTGCTCAGAGATCTTGGGTGGGAGGAGTTCACCTCCAGGTCCTTCCGGGCAAGTCAGGAGTATCTGGAGCTGGAGAGCATGTTGCAGCGGGACTCCTAAACATAATTGCTGCTTCGCAGGGGGAAAGTTATTTGTGCATGCAATTTACAAAGTAAATCTTGGCCCAACAATGGAATGGGGCAGTCTGGCATGTAGAGAAAACTATGAGTAATTTTTGATCCACAAGCTGGCATTCTAGAGGTTGAAGGAACGCCTGTTTTTGTAATTGCCCGACCCCTCCAGTAACCATCACGACAGCTAAACTTTTCTTGGTGAGTTTTGTATTTAGCACTGTGTGTGTAGCTCCCATATCTATGAGACAGTCAATTAGCTTGTACCCCACTGTCCATTGTACCAGGGGCTCCTGTGGGTAAATAGTAATAGGTCAGAGGGTGTCTAGAGGAGGCCCTGGGCTTCCAGATTTGTCATTCCTTTCTAACATTTCTTGGTGAGGGTTTCCATGCTTTTTATTTTTATTTTTGAGTTCTGGG